TCGTACTCCATGTACCATTTGTCCGCTGAAGCATTACAAGAAATTATCACTGAATTCCCAACGAAGTTGATTGCTGTTGTTATCTTGGCATTGACCACTTACTGGATGCCTAACTTGAGACATACTGCTGGAGGATTTTTCATGTACTTGCTATTCTTGTTGACCATTCAACAGTGTATGTCGTTCACATTCAAGTGTGTTGCCACTGTGACTAAAGATGGTACCACAGCTCATGCCATTGGTGGTTTATGGGTTTTGATGATGTGTGTTTATGCTGGATTTGTGCTTCCATTAACACAAATGCATCACTGGATTAAGTGGATTCATTACTTGAATCCTATGTTCTACTGTTTCTACTCCTTGATGGGTAATGAATTCCACAGAAGACATATGGATTGTTATCAATTGGTTCCATCTGGTCCAGGTTACGAAAACACATCCCTTTCCAACCAAATATGTAGTATTCCAGGTTCCATTGCCGGACGTGACTGGGTTCTTGGAGATGACTACCTATACAAGGCCTTTGATATTAAATGGCACAATGTGTGGAAATACTGGGGTATCAACTTATGTTGGACTGTCGGCTATATTGGATTAAACGTTTTCATGTCTGAGTACATCAAGAATGTTGAAGGTGGTGGTGACTTGCTATTGTTCAAGAGAGGTTGTCTGCCTGATACCTCTGCCGGTGAAGATTGGGATGGTAAGGTTGCCACAAGAGGTGAGATGATGCTTGCTTTGAACGGTCCAGATGCCGACCTTGAAGAGATTATTGCTACTGCCGATATCTTCTCGTGGAAAAACTTGGACTACATTATTCCATACGATGGTGCTACCAGACAATTATTATGTTCCATTCAAGGTTACGTTAAGCCAGGTACCATGACCGCCCTTATGGGTGAATCTGGTGCAGGTAAGACCACATTGTTGAACGTTTTAGCCCAAAGAATTTCCTTCGGTACTATTACCGGTGATATGTTGGTTAATGGTAGACCATTGGATACATCTTTCAAGAGAAGAACTGGTTATGTGCAACAACAAGATTTGCATATGGCTGAGTACTCTGTTAGAGAATCATTAAGGTTTGCCGCTGATTTGAGACAACCTAAGGATGTGTCCACTGCTGAGAAATACGAATATGTTGAAAAGATTATTGGCTGCTTGGGTATGGACAAATATGCCGAGGCTATGGTTGGTAAGGTCGGTAGAGGTTTGAATGTCGAACAAAGAAAGAAATTGTCTATTGCTACTGAATTAGTTGCTAAGCCATCATTGTTATTATTCTTGGATGAACCTACCTCTGGTTTGGACTCTGAATCTTCATGGTCTATTGTCCAATTCTTGAGAGCTCTTGCAGACTCTGGTCAAGCTATCTTGTGTACGATTCATCAACCATCGGCCACATTGTTTGAGGTTTTCGACAGATTGCTATTGTTGAAGAAGGGTGGTAAGACTGTGTACTTCGGTGATATTGGTGCAAACTCCTCTACATTGTTAAATTACTTCGAAGGACATTCTGGTGTCAAGTGTGGTGCTTCTGAGAATCCTGCTGAATACATTTTGAACTGTATTGGTGCTGGTGCAACAGCTTCTGCTGCCCAGGATTGGTCTGAACTTTGGAACAATTCTCCAGAATGTGCCCAAACCACAAAGGATATTGAATACTTGCATGCTGAATTACCAAAGAGACCAGAGAACTCAAGTTCTGGTGACTTGTCTGCTAAATATGCTACTACATACGACAAGCAATTCTGGTATGTTTTGAGAAGAACATATGTTCAGTTCTGGAGATCACCGGTCTATATCAGAGCCAAGTTCCTTGAATGTGTTTCTTGTGCTCTTTTCGTTGGTTTATCTTATGTTGGTATGGATCACTCTGTAGGTGGTGCACAAGGTGCTTTCTCTTCCATTTTCATGTTGTTGTTGATTTCCGTTGCTATGATTAACCAATCTCACGTCTTTGCTTTTGATACCAGAGAATTGTTTGAAGTCAGAGAAGCTTTGTCGAATACTTTCCACTGGTCATGCTTGCTTCTTTGTCACACTATCCTTGAAATCTTCTGGTCCACAATTTGTCAATTCTTCATTTACGTTTGTTACTACTGGCCACCAAGATACTCCGGGGATGCTAATAAGGCTGGTTTCTTCTTCTTCATCAACGTGTTGATTTTCCCAGCTTACTACTGTACCTACGGTTTGGCTATCTTGTACTTTTCCCCAGATGTGCCATCAGCTTCTATGATCAACTCCAACTTGTTTGCTGCGATGTTGTTGTTCTGTGGTATTTTGAATCCAAAGAGATACTCGCCAAGATTCTGGTCCTTCATGTATGTTGCATCACCATTTACCTACTTTGTGCAAGCGTTTGTTGGTCCTATTTTGCGCAACAGAAAGTTGGTTTGTGAGTATGGCGAATTAAGTATTGTTGATCCACCAGAGGGACAAAACTGTGGTGACTACTTCTCGCATTACATTGACAACAACGGTGGTTACTTGAGAAACCCGGATGCTGACAGCAGTTGCCAATACTGTCCATACACCATGCAAGAGCAGGTTGTTATCCAATATGGTATCAAGTGGAACCAGCATTGGAGAGATTTCGGTATTGCATGGATCTACATCATTGCTAATATTGGTTTCATGTTGGTTGGCTACTACTACTTCAGAGTTATCGGTAAGAATCCGTTCGGTATGATTTTCAAATTGTTGAACCCTAAGTCTTTGATTCCTAAGCAAAGACACGAAAAGGACAAGACCATTTTCCAAAAGAAACCAGGCGATGACAAGATTGGTACCCAAAAGAAGGCATGATAGATCTCATTGCTTAATTCCAACAACCAGAATACTAATATATTTACACATTTACGCGTAAGCACAATAGATCTTTCACAGACAGCACATCTACCAATTTATTCATACATTTCCTTTATATGGTTATTTATGCGTTTTATAAACATTTTCCATGGATACAGTAATAAACATATTCAAACTTAATTTGTATACACTGGACTAGCTCAATTTTCCATTGCCAAAAAATCAGAGCTCAAATAAGAAGAACTTTAGCAACAAACAGCGATTGGAGGGAGGAAGGGAGGAAAAGAAAAAGTTCACTATCAAGATTTACCAACAGCGTGACGCCGCACAATCAGTTTCAGTCCCCAAGGAGAGCCACGGAGGCTGGAGGGGTAGGATGTTATACATGTTTTCGACAATCGCTGCGACGTTCTGCCAAAAGAAACAGCTCTAACCGTCCACAGGTGATCTGGCAATAAGAGTACCCGATTGAGCCATATATAAGGGGAGCACGGATGACGGCATTGCAAAGGGCGGGCTGCGGGGCACAATCCCGATTTCAAACCATAGTTGAACCAAAGGATGTTAGCGTTGAGTGAAATACGCAAAGAGACAGATTCGGGACCTGAGTCGCTGCAAGATGGAAAAATGCATCGGTTAGGCGTGCGTCCGTTTTGCTGTTTTGCTCTCTGTTTATTTGTTTACGTGTGCCGCTGCCGTCAAGGTTCCCGAAGAAGCACATTTTGCTGTGTCGATAACGCTGCAGAGCCCTTTTCCGCCATGCTTCCGTGCGAGGAAGGCGACAGCCCGCGACTTGCCCGATTGGTGCTTAATGGCAAACATCACAGCGGGCCAGATCGGGAAACGGAACCGAACCGTGCCGGAAAAGGCAGGGCCCGGGTCACGTGCGCGGAAGCAACTTCCTAGGCGTAGGCTACGGGGGGCGGCATGGGGCGAAATAGACTCTGTCCAGCGCGGGGGAGGCTATTGCTACCACTGGGGCTGGCGATGACGGCGTGTTCCCGCCGCACCCGTCGGTCCTGTCGTGGCTGCTTTTGCCGTCGCTGTTCACAACTCAGCACTCCCGGCCATCCTGTGAATGCTGTTGCGGAGCGAGAAAAGATGAGCTTGAAGGATGCAGCCACTGCGAGTGGGTGAATATGGTGGTGGTACGTGCAACTGCTGGCACGCCTGACCAGTCCTTCCCCACATGGTGTAGCTGCCCTGGCGTGAGCCTCATCCACCTCCGTACAGGGGCAGCCACCGCCCCTGACACTTCCGTCTTTTCCCACAGGTTGGGGCCCCGGCAGCGGTCCAGCCCATCTGCTGCAGCCGCAGCTGCAGCACATGCACGGCTGTGTCCCGGCTGGCCGCTACGCTATTCTCTGCCAACCCGAAAATAGCCTCCCGGCGGCCAGCGGATGGAACTAGTCTACGCCGATGGCTTCCGCGCAGGCTACTGCGCGCCATTTTCCCTGTCTCCGGGCGCTCGTCTGCTACTCCGGAGCGTCGGACAGCTCCGTTGCCATCGGCGGTGCTGCACTGCCGGGCTTGTTGCCGAGATCAGAACCAGTTACCGGAAACGCACGCTACGCCTGCCCCGCTCTCTGCGGGCATTTCCACACAGACGGAGAGACACAGAGAGCTGGTAAGGAGCCGTGAGGACAGCCTCGTGGGGCTGCGGGTGTGTGGTTTCCCGAGGGGAGAGGGAAGAAAGGGAACAAGGCCAAACGGGAGGGCTCTTGAGTGAGTATTGTCGGCACGTCTCTCTCTCTCGCTCGCCGGCCCGACCCAGAAACAGAAACAGAAACAGAAACAGAAACGAGAGAGGGAGAACGAGAGAGAAAAATAGAAAAAGGCGTCTCTATATTCGCTCAAGCCGCGTGCTTCAAACAGTGGCCCCCCGCCCGGTTGGGCTCCGTGTTTTGGTTTACTACACCAATTCGGCCTGTTGGTGAAGAAAGTGCCCGCCTGGACGAATACATGGCCTCCTTATCAAGCCCTCTCTACCAGCCATTTAAATATTTCCTGGTTCCCCTCCTCCTCAGCATGTCCAGCGCAATCGTCTTTTCCTGTTCTGTAGCACTTCATTCCTCCTCTTTTCTGGATCCTCTATCCTTCTTTTAGTCTCCTTTTTTCTCTCCTCTTTCTCCATCACCTTCTACATTAACCGCATTAGATTAACAGACCTCTGGTTGATACAACAGAACTGCCTATCAACTAGTTAGTGATACCTTTCTAGCTTAATTTTTTGCCGGTCAATTAGTTGTTGCACTCATAACCCAAAATCTTTTTTTCTCTTTGTCAATTCCTACGTTTTGCCAATTAGAATCCATTTCAATTGTCCTTAATTTATTAATAGCAAAAAAGGAGAAAAAGATCAATCCACTGAACTACAAACTCAATTTCCCGTTTCCACTACTTCATCTATAATTTATTCTACTCGTTGATCACATCTCTATCACAATGGAGAAGCCAGCTGAGAACCACAGTAACGATACTGACAGTATCGACTCTGATAATCAAGATGTCCAGAAGTTCAATCCTTTGAATGATCCTGAAGACCAAGGTAATGCTGAGAACTTGTCTCACCACGTCTCCCGTATCTTGTCTACCCAGGAAGGTATGGAGCGTGTTGCTACCCTTGCCAGAGTCTTGTCCACCAAGACCAAGAAGGACATGGATCACTTCGAGATCAACAAAGAGAACTTTGACTTGGAGTTACTCTTGAAGTACCTCCGTGACCGTTCCGCAGAGCAAGGTATTGAATCTGCCAATGCAGGTGTTTCTTTCAGAGATCTTACTTGTTGGGGTGTCGATGCCTCTGCTGCCCATGGTCCTTCTGTGACTGAAATGTCCATCAACTACCTTAGCTTCTGGAAGATGTTCCAGAAAGATAACCGTAAGCAAAGAATGATTATCCAAAACTTTGTTGGTGTCTTGGAGCCAGGAGAGATGGTGCTTTGTCTTGGTAAGCCGGGTGCCGGTTGTTCCTCATTGTTAAAGGCCGTTGCTGGTGAAATCGAGAATTTCACTAAGGTCGAAGGTTCCTTTTCCTATGACGGGTTAGACCAGGCGGAGATGATGCAAAAATATAAGGGTTATGTTGTTTACAACCCGGAATTGGATTTCCATTTCCCATACATCACTGTCAAGGAAACAATTCAGTTGGCCTTGAGATGTAAAACTCCACAGAAGAGAATTGATAACATGTCCAGATCTGAATATGTTGATAACATGCTTAGAGTAAGTTTTCTTCAAACAACTTTTTTTTTTTCACACAGCATACTAACATTTGTTTTTGACTTTTTACTACAGTTATGGTGTACCGTTTTTGGTTTGACCCACACATACGCTACCAGAGTCGGTAACGATTTTGTGAGAGGTGTTTCTGGTGGTGAAAGAAAGAGAGTTTCGATTGTGGAAGCCTTGGCTTTGAACGCTTCTGTGTACTGTTTCGATAACGCTACCAGAGGTTTGGATGCTTCTACGGCATTGGAATTCACACAGTGTTTGAGAACTGCCACCAATATGTTGGGCTGTTCTGCGTTTGTTGCTATTTACCAAGCCGGTCAAAACATTTACGAATTATTTGATAAGGTGAGTGTTCTATACAAGGGTAGACAGATTTACTGGGGTCCTGCCGACCAAGGTGTTTCTTATTTTGAGAAGATGGGCTACTTGAAGCCTAGCAGAATGACTGCACCGGAGTTTTTGACTGCAGTTACTTCTCCATCTTCCAGACAAGTGCAACCAGGGTTTGAAGGTAAGGTTCCAGAATCGTCAGAAGAGTTTGCTGAGTACTGGGTCAACTCTCCAGAATATGCTAACTTGATGACTGAAATGGACGAATTTGATGCTAATCATAATGGCGATGAGACCAGACAAAGACTGGATTTTGTCAACCAGCAGAGAAAGCAAAAGGGTAACAGACAAAAGTCTCAATTTATGGTTACCTATTGGTCGCAATTATACTACTTGATGTTAAGAGGTTTCCAAAGAACCAAGGGTAATATCACTTATACCATTGTCTACATTTCATCGTTTGTTACTAAGGGTTTTGTTGTCGGTTCTATGTACTACCACATTCCGAAGTCCACCAATGGTGCATACTCACGTGGTGGTATCTTGTTCTATGTTTTGCTTTTCTGTTCCGTTACATCTTTAGCCGAAATTGCTAACTCGTTCTCTACCAGAAACATTTTAGTGAAGCAAAAGTCGTACTCCATGTACCATTTGTCCGCTGAAGCATTACAAGAAATTATCACTGAATTCCCACGAAGTTGATTGCTGTTGTTATCTTGGCATTGACCACTTACTGGATGCCTAACTTGAGACATACTGCTGGAGGATTTTTCATGTACTTGCTATTCTTGTTGACCATTCAACAGTGTATGTCGTTCACATTCAAGTGTGTTGCCACTGTGACTAAAGATGGTACCACAGCTCATGCCATTGGTGGTTTATGGGTTTTGATGATGTGTGTTTATGCTGGATTTGTGCTTCCATTGACACAAATGCATCACTGGATTAAGTGGATTCATTACTTGAATCCTATGTTCTACTGTTTCTACTCCTTGATGGGTAATGAATTCCACAGAAGACATATGGATTGTTATCAATTGGTTCCATCTGGTCCAGGTTACGAAAACACATCCCTTTCCAACCAAATATGTAGTATTCCAGGTTCCATTGCCGGACGTGACTGGGTCTTGGAGATGACTACCTATACAAGGCCTTTGATATTAAATGGCACATGGTGTGGGAATACTGGGGTATCAACTTATGTTGGAC